TGCCAGCCTGGTCCTGGGAAGAGGCGGAGGGCTGGGTGGCAGCGGTTGGCTGGCTCATGCTGTGCCAGGGTCAGGGTCTGCTGGCTGGGTGCTGGCAGGCTTGCAACTGGCACAAGCACTGTAGCCAGACTGTGCCTCTTTAAAGGCTCTGGGGCCAGAAGAGTTTTCCTGGTTTGGCCCAGAGTGGCCACCAGGGCAACCTGGGAAGGGCTAGCCTCCAACTAGTTTGAATTAAGTGGCTACACAGCCCTTAATTCAAACTAGGCATTACTCCTTGTAGAATGAGGTTTACCTAGTTGGAATTAAGCGCTCAGCTAGTTTGATTTAAATTCGAACTAGCGGTTTGTATGTGTAGCCCCTATTAAAGTTAATTCGAACTAACGGCTGTTAGTTCGAATTAACTTTGTAGTGTAGACATACCCTAAGGATTTAAAGAATTTAACATAAATCTTAAGCCTACTAATTCTTTTTTTGTGTGTATGAAATCCGATTTTTGAATGCAATTAATCATTGGAAGTCTCTGAATTCTTTAACTGCTCTCTTAGGGCATGTCTAAACTAGGAAATTATTTCAAAATAATTTATTTTGAAATAATTGCTCCTGAAATAATTATTTCAAAATAGCATGTCCATACAACAGGGAAGCCTTGAAATTAGTCCGAGGCAGGCTCACTTAATGTGGATGCGCTACCTCAACTTAGAGCCCCAGGAAGCACTGGGGAGTAATTACTTTGAATGACTCTGGGGAATAGTTATTTTGAAATAGCAGCAGTGGAGCATCAATACTACCGCTATTTCAAAATAACTATTTCAAAATAAGTGTTATTCCTCATGGAAGAGTTATTATTTTGAAATAACCAGCCCCTTATTTTGAAATAATTGGCTTGGTAGCGTGGATGCTCTGCTTGTATTTTGAAATAATGGGAGTTATTTCAAAATAATTCCCTGGTGTAGACCAGGGCTTCGGGTGCAGTGTGGATTGAGAATTAGAATAGTAAGAGGAAATCTTGTCTACAGTAGCAAATGTGAAAGAACCCTGGAGTTGCACAAGAAGCTGTTAAACCAAACGACTTAAGTATATTAAAACCAGAAACTGGCAGGAAATATTTTGCAGTAAAAAGATTAAAATTCCAGGACTCTCCTACCTTGCTGTATGATATACCATCAAATACTGATGATATTTCAGCTGGAGATGACACATTGACCACAATAGGGTGGGAAGACAACAAGGAGTCGTCCTTCAACACAGGCAGCACATCGTAAATTAACATCTGATCAAGCTAGAAATAAGAAAACATTAAAACAGAAATAAATTAAGGGCTATAATTCATATTCCAAGAGTAAGTAATCTATAATTTTAAAGGAAAGTTTCAGACCTGTCTTTGGTGTATGGGGATGTGAAGGAGGAATACAGAAATGAAACTTCAGCTTCTCTACAGAATGATTTGAGCACTAGCACTATATGTTTAGGATGGGGACATTTTTCATCTGCCTCGATACATTTTCTCTTACAGTATCCTCTTTGCATTTGTGCATCGGAAAACACAAAAAGCTCAACAAGGCAAAAAAAGAGAGGCTATTACCAATTTCAGCTTTGAGACATAGCACAGATGAACATATGAAGGTTGGCTTGAGGAGTGTAATGAACAGGAGGAGTGCTGACCAGCAGCCGGTGACTAGGGGGTTAAACTCAGGAGGCTAGCAAGATGTTGGTCAGGGGATCAGGAGAACCAGTTGAAATAGAGGGATGAAATTTGAATTGGATATAGGTTCCCTGCCTGCTTTCTTTTTGTGGGAGAGAAAAAACAGGATTTGAGAGACACAGAACGATTTAATATCAGGAAGAACTACCATGTCTCCGATGAATTTGGGTCATGGTAGTGGACCAAACAAAGAGAAAATTGGAAGTAAGTTAAGGGAAAAGTGAATCTAGTCACGTTCAGGGTAATTTTTCTTTCTTCTGTGGTTTGGGTTGAACTACTCTGTGTGAATCTAGGCCTACCCTCCCCATTTATCATCATGCACTGTGCCCAGAGACTTTTCTCTGTGTTTTAATTTGTTTTCCTTAGTTGCTGTGTAACATCTAGCAACCAAGTATGCTTTATCAAGTTTATCTTTTGTTTTGTAATGAAAAAAAATCACTTTTTTTAAGGTGATGATTTGATTCTTGTGTACTGGAAGGTTTCTTGTGTAAATGAAGCACAAGAAAATGCTAATTCACACTTCATTTGCATTGCTTCTTCCAGCAAAACTCATAGTGTAGCCGTAGCCTTAGAGTGCCAAAGTGGGGAACAGCCCAGACAAGGAATATGCAGGATTTCATTAGGGTGTTGTCCCTGATTTTTTTCTTTGACAGATCCAGTACCTTGTGATCCATATTAAGTTAATGCCGGATTCATAGATGAGTGAGACTAAAGTTCTATATAATTTTCTGTTCTACCATTCATTGGTGTACAGCTCTATGCCTTAGTTAAATAGCATTTTAAAAAGGGGCTATATAACCTCATGATGAATAACAATATGTCGGTATGTATGTTAAAATAAGACTCATGTAATTTCATACTTCAGGATGTAAGGTTATTAATATAGAGTGGAAGAATCCCCCCCATACTTCCCAATTCCCATGAACTGCACAGCATTTCACAAATGAAAGGGTGCATAGTATTTTTGGCTTTGTTTTGGTGTTCTCACTGCCAAAGTAAATGGGCCAATGATTAGCATTTGGCTATAAAGGATTTAATATAATAAAAATCTAACAAAGTCTGTATAAATAAAATAATATGCATATGGTAGCTAAAGTCTCATATCCATTTGGTAGATGTGGGCTATGGCACTTATTTTTGGCTGGCAACAAAATCATTAATTCAGCAATGGGCAACCTGGGCTAGTGAGGGGGCCACATGAGTGACCCCCCTTCATCTCAGTGGGCTTCAAAATTGCCATAATCAAGATAGTCTCCCGGGATAGGGTAGTTTAGTTAACTGTGCTTGTGTTCCTAGAATGGGCAGAGTGTGCTGATTGAACGATAGCAGCACTTGCATTGAATAACAGCTCTCACAGTTATTGTGTGCAATCAGCATGCACCTCACTTCACATGCCTTTGCTTTAAGTGAGTGTCGCTCTATTAATACTGGTAGGAAAAAATTATATGGATGGAAACCAGAGGAATCTGGCAACCCTGCACATGAGCAACAGCAAACAAAATGTCTCATGGGCTACTCATAGGACTCCGATGGGATGCATGTAGCCCATGGGCCGCAGGTTGCCCACCACTGACCAAATTAATACAAAGAGTGATTAGTCGTCAGTGTATAAAATGTGTATGTATAAAGCACCTGCTTTTCTTTTCTTGTGGAACCATAAAGTGAACTAATTAGTTCAGCTCCACTGTTTGCAGTGTAGGGAGCTTTAGGATAGATAGGACATTTTCTGTCACCACAATTTTAAATATTATTTTGATTAGAATGGTCTATGACGTGTCTCTAATTTTCATTCCATTACAAAATTTAAAAAAAATAGTACAAAATAGTTACCATTTGCCAATCAGATTCTGCAGCATTTACTCCAAGGTACTCAAAGAAACTGGCAAATCCTTCATTTAGCCACAAGTCGTCCCACCAGTCCATGGTCACAATGTTTCCAAACCACTATAATTATAAATATTGAATATAAAGTATCATAATAAGTGTGTATTACAGTTTTGTGAATCTTCTTGCAGTATATTCATTTATTTACATTTCTTCCTATTTCCAGGAAGAAGAATGTCACAAAAGTAATATTTTAATAGGAAGTCACATGATGACTCAGATTAATTATTTGCATTATGAAATTACATATTATAGCTATGATTGATACTGATTCATATACCACTGGAATTATGTTTAGTTTTGTCTTCTTGATTTGATTTACTTTTAGATAGACCAAATTTTTAAGCAGCTTCCAAAGTTTAGTTGCATCTGTTTGCAAGTTTAAATCACATGTGTTCACATGTAAATAAAGTGTGTGTGTGTGTGTGTGTGTGTGTGTGTGTGTGTGTGTGTGTGTGTGTGTGTGTGTGTGTGTGAGAGAGAGAGAGAGAGAGAGAGAGAGATGAAGTTGCAAGCAGATTTTTCAGAAACTGAAAAACCTGGTCCTAAGTATCCAATTTTCTGAGAAGTCCATTTTCAATAATTCCAATACTACTTCTAATAGTAGAATTACCTCTGTGCACTTATTTTTAAAATAAAATTTAAACATGCGTAGAAAACCTGAAGCTAAATGTATAACTGGTTATGTTCATAAATGAAGTATGTGGATACTGTGCACTTCCAGTGCTTTAAAAACAATAAACATTAAATGAAATCTACCTGATGAACGAGTTCATGGGCAACCACAACTGCTACTCTCTGTTTGTTGGAGGAAGCAGATTCTTTGGGATCATAAAGTAGGCTTGTTTCTCTGTAAGTGATCAGACCCCAGTTTTCCATAGCACCGGCATTAAAATCTGGAATAGCTATTTCATCTATATGGAAAGAAAGAAAGCACTGTCAACATTGTATTCATTAAAATTCTTATGTGATGAGTCCTCTTTGGGTAGGAGAATGGCCATCTTCTTACTCACAACATAAAAGCTTGTTTTGTTGCTTGTCATTTAACAGACTTCTGTATTACATGCTGCAGTGAGAGAGTGTACTCTCGGCTTTCTGTTCCTATGTGTAGGATATTCAGTGATACTGTGGGGGCAGACAATCAACTGAATGTAAATTATCATAGCTCCAGCAACTTCTATGAAGTTCTGATAATTTACACTCGTCAAATATCATTCCCAGATAAAGTGATGTGCAACCATATGAAAATACGCATGTGATCCAACACTGCAGTTTGGCTTCAGAAATTAACATTTTACAGGGATATGCTGTAGACAATAAAGCATCTAAAACAATCAGAGGCATGTCACTGACAGCCTTTTGAATAATAAATATTTATCGACTTATTAACTGAAGTAAATCCCCCCTGTCGTGAACAACATTTGCTTCTTCTCACTGCAATCTGTGGAGTCACTTCTTTGGCTTTCATAATCAACACAAGTTAAAAATGTGAATTCTGGATTCGATTGGCCTTGCATTCTATTCTGTGAGGATTGACAGCAGCCTTTCCAAGAGGGTAAGGGTAAAATGGATCAATCAGTTCAAAATTGGACACAAAACCTTACTCATATCTCTACTTGCAAACTGCAAGTGGAATTACTAATGTTTGTTTATTCTTTCATTGGTTATAGCTGTCATCCTGGCAAGGTCTTTTGGACATATTATATAGTCCGTCAAAGATCCAAAAATGAGGCAAACACAAAAAATACTGATTTCAGAAGTTTTGATGTTATAGTAAATTAATTTAGTTAAATTATTATTTTGTTAAAACCCTGTTTGATTCACCACTTGTGGTGTAATCCATTTATAATAATGAAGGGACGTATCATAAAGCTATGAAAGAAAGATGGATTGTTGGTTTTGTACTGAGAGTTGAGATGTTTCTCTCTTACTACTTTGCACCCAGAGGAACACAATATCAAATTTTTAAGATGGTCTGTGATACAAATATTATTAAATCAGGGGACAGAGTTCTATTCTACAATGTAGCTGGATCCTTATCAGTGTCCTTTAACTGGGCATTAGACATGTTACAGAAACATGAGCTTGGTTATAGATAGTTAAGAGCCCGTCTAAATGGATCCACAAAGTGAAGCCAGCTTGTAACCATGTAAAGGGGCAACTGTGTTCTAGCTAGGTCTCCTAACTTAGTTGTAACCTGTAACATGGCAATTTATATTGACTTTTTAGAGGTATTTAGGATGAGGAAAAGAAGAAGTTCAAAAACTTCAGAGAATTTTGAATGTCAATGGTTTGACATGGGTAATCTATTGGATAGTGCATGATCCATAGTGCATAGCATGATTTAAAAAAAACGTTAAGGCAGCTAGATGTTTCCTCCTTTTGAGTTAAGTTTCTGTACTTTAGTAAACTATACCATTGGATTTTATAGCAGAGGCTGCTTCTGAAGCTTTTCCACAGCTTCAATTACTGTATATCCCTAATTAATTCAATTTTCACAGATCAAATCTAGATTTTAAACATTCAAATTTAGGGATGCTCAGAGTCAATGTTTTGCTTTGGGACCTAAAAATAGAGGGGCTACAGGCAAAATTTGGTTCTGTATCAAGGTTGGTTTGGTTTGGATCTGTACTCTTCATTCAACCTTGTGGAAATGGTTGCACACAAATTGAAGTGAGTCACTTGACTTGAATCATTTATGTCATTAGTAATAGTTGTTGGGAAGCATTCTTGGGAGTTGAACCTGTCTATTCAAGCTACATTTGGCTGCATTGATCCTGTATTGTTTCTGTGTTAATGTCACTAACATTTAATATTTTTAAAACTGAACACTCTAAAGTAGCTGTGTGAGTGCCAGTGTTTCTATTCAGCTGCCAGAATGAAGAGAGAAGAATGTCCCAAGTGAGTCTGAGGCTCCTGTCATGACATAATAGGGCATATTGAACTATAAAGTCTTAATCTAAGCAGATTCTGGCGTTAGCAGCACAAATTCTGTCTTCTCACTCTCCCATGAAATAACAATGATTAAGAGCAGAAAACAAAACTGTGATAGTAAATGAAGAGAATGAAGAATATAAATTGTGGTAATCACCTAATTTTGGAAGAGAATAGTTCATATCAAAATACCGTTCAAAGAAGTCAAATACAGCTTTGGTAACATTTGCAGCATATTCTGCTGTGTGTATTTGCTGTGGCTGTGCATAGATCCTGAGCTGTAAAATAGAGAAATATAGTTAGAGCACATTCCAACTGATCAAAACAAATCAACATGTGTTTAGCAGTGAGGCATCATTGCCAAAGAGAAGGACAATATGGTTGACTTCTCTTCTCTGGAAGACTAAAGCTAACACTGAGACCCTTGTGTAAACCACTTATTTGAGAAAGCTTATGAAATATCAATTTTATATAGATATGCAGAGATCAAATCCGTGTATTACTCTCCTCCCCCCGATCTCGGCATTATTCATCCATGAAACTTTGTGCATTGTGTACGAATACACGGTTTATATCTATCATTACATTTTTTAATGAAGAAGAGAAAAGTGATATTTCAAATGCTGCTGTCCATGCCCCCACTATCTGTGACCAAGAACTGCTACTGCCCCATGGAAATTAATTCTGTTTTACTGTGTAGTAATGGAATATTCCCCAGGCTTATGGGCCAAGGATGACTGTTTTCCACAAACAAACAAAGAAACAAAAAAACAGTTTGTTAATTTGTCAAAAAAAAATTGTAGAATGTATCTCTTTTGACAAAGCTTCTGTCTGGAAAGTTTCTTGGGTCCAGAATGGAATTTTTGGTCAAAAACAGCAGCGAGAAAATCCAGAATAGCCAGTTTCCCATTGATGAGGGCATTCACATGGGATGTGACAAACCTAGCTGTGAATCAGACAGGGATTTGAACCTGGGTCCTGGGTCCCATGTGTGTGCCTGACCACGGAGATTACTGGCTATTCTGGTGTCTGCTTCTCTCTCATTTACACTCAGGTACACATAACAAAAATTCCATCCTGGATCCAAGAAACATTCCAGATAAAAGTTTTTAGTAAAAAATGATAGATAGCTACAAAAATATTCACTTTCAATTAATCTGAATCTTCTTATGGAAAAATTGTTCCTTTGAAAAATTCCTGACTGAATCTAGTCAGGAATTTAGGCTTTGAACTGAACAAAGTTGGCCTGTGATGGAAGTGCTATCTAAGAGAAAGGTAGGGTAGATATTCACCTTTATTCAGAAAAGCAAGAATAGGAGTGGCAAAAGGGCCTCTGTGGGCCAGATCTGGCCTGACAAGCAGGTTCATCTGGCCCCTGGATGCTCTGCTGCTTCCCCACCCCCAGGCCAATCAGGGCCTAGGGACAAGGGAGTGTGTGGTGCCTAGAGTCAATCCTAGCGGTTGACTCTAGGTGCCACATGCCAGAGGGCAGGGAGTGAGAGATTTCTTATGTCAATCAGACCTTGGGGTGGGGGGAGCGTGCAAAGTCTCCTCCCGTTCTGCAAGGAGCTCGGCACTTAAGGTCAACTGCCAGCTGCTGGTCAGCTGGTGGGTGACTCTAAGCGTGACACTCCCTTGCAGGGCAGGGGCACAGAGCCAGAGACTTCGCATGGTCTCCCTTCAACCCAGGCCCTGATTGTCCTGGGGGCAGGGGTGGGAGCGCACAAAGTCTCCTCCCACTGCCAGGGGCATTGGTGCCTAGAGGAAATCACCAGCTGTTCAGAACAGCAGGTGGGTCCTCTATGGGGAGCAGGGGCAAAGACTGCACTCCTCCACCCCCCAAACAAATCAGGGTCTGTGGGTGGGGAAGCACGGAAGTGTCCGGGCCTTGCTCTTTCCATCTGAGGCCCCACCCTTTCTGAAATTCTGAAGCGGCACCAGGTAAAAAATTATTGCCCACCTCTGAGCTAGAATCATACTGTAATGTTGCTGTTTTTCTAGTGTTCCTCTTTGGAACCATAAAAATCAATCCTAGCCTAGAACTCATAGCCTAGAAGAGAGTGGTAGCTGAATGTAGAATGGCTGGGCTTTTCTGCATACAAAATAATGACTTTGAGTGCATCTGCTTAATTCCTTTTCTTTTTCCCTGAACAAATTTTGTGAGAGACCCTTGTAAATTCTGATTGGGTAGATGATTCAGATCTAGAGGGAACGTGTCTAGGCTAGAAAAACATTGTCCTGATTCTGAGTACAAGTGGAACATTTTATCTGTGAGGTACTCTTGCTCTAAATGTTTGGAGACCCTTTGCTAATTATCACAGTTTATAAATTAAATTTGCAGCTAAACAAATATGATTTTTTTTAAAATCATTGATACTGCATCATATCACAAAATGCACTCTGGTTATGCATTTATACAAATGTGATACAGTTCTAATTATTTCTGATCCAACACTGCATACGGAAAGATGTAAAAAAAAAAAAGTTTTAGAGCAAGGAGGCCTCAGGACATCACTATGCTATTAGATGTTTACTAACAAGTAGGGTCAGACATCTTGCATTTTTGTAAAAAGCATCAGATTTGCATGTTGGTGAATGCTAAAACTTAGGCACATTTTGATTTCAGATGGGAAACCGAGGCAAAGTACAGACTTGCTCAAAGAAGGTTACATGGTGTGTCAATAGTAGTGTTCTTAATAAAATCCAGAAATCTAGATTCCCAGTCACTAGGCAATATTTTATCTAGAACAGTAATAAATTGCCCTGAGCAAATGGCTAAAACATCCTTATGCCAAAAGTGTGTGCTTTGATTCTTAAAAGAAAAGGAAGGGAACTAGCAACAGCACCACTTGGGAAGACTTTTTCTACTTCAGATTAAAAAAACTTTGACAAATAACTACTTGGGGCTGAGCTTTCCACATTAAATGTAGGCTCAGTACGGAGTTTGGGTTAAAGGCTAAATCACTACTCTGGTTTTAGGTCAGATTCAAGAACTCTGATAAAATGACGTGAACTGTTCCTACAAGATTTTGTATAGTAAAAATCTCATGAAACTAGTCACAGTTACAAGATGTTGCCTGAATCCAAACCAGAACTAGAAAACCAAGTCCTTATTCTTTTGGGACAATCTAGAATCACATTATAGGATTTTAGATTAATGGATTCAAATTCAAACATGCTTCATTCAGAAGACCTGAGGGTCCATTCTTTTGGAAAAGGGACTATTCTTTTAATGTGTCTGAAGTATTCCTACTGGGATTGGAGCATATAGGCACTACCGTAATATAATAAATAATGTTATACTATGCATTTTTAAACATCAATGCAGTGCAATGACTCCATTTTTCAGTGTAGTTGTTTACTAAATAATAGAGGCACGAGGTGCACATATATTCACAGCTTTTAAGGACAGAAGGGACTATTTTGACTTCATGCAGAACACAGGCCATAAGAATGGGAAGATTAAGCAATACAATATGAAAAGTTGACATGTTTTTTGAAACTCACAGCTGGAATGTGTTCAGAATGAAAATTGGACTTACAGGAATTCCTCTGGCAGACTTTCTTTCTACCCAGTCAAACTGGTGCACAGCAAAGCACACCAAATATGTGCTCATTGGGACAGATTTCTGAAAAGTTGTCCTGTTCCAGCCATCACCCAGTTGAACAGTTTGCTGAAGAAGAGAAATAATTCTTACCTTTTGAAACTTCAGACATGTGCATAAAAGAATCAAATATCTTTATATAAACTGGAGCTATAGGAATGATGAATTGCCCCTCTGTCTTTACCCAGCCCATGGGATGGGAACATGCAAAGTGATTTTTTTTCTAAAAGGTGCAATGCCTAGGTTGGAGCTTTGTTTTTATGCACCAAGAACACATTTTCGTATGTCTAGTTGTTTGCATTAAGAAATCAAACCATGTATTATCTGTGATTATATCATCTTAAAATGAGTTTTTTCAATAAGCTTGTGTCCCCTTTAATTTGTTTTCTAGCTAGTCTTCATGAACTAGCTTCATAAAACTAAAATGTTGGATAAATTACACAAAGGGACACATTTTGCCCTCCTTTAAACCTGTACAACTTCCTTGAGGTATTGCAGATGTAACTGAGAGCAGAATTAGCCCACTGAATCCAATTTTTCAGTAATAATTAGTGTTGTAAACCTTATTGGGTTTGCTATCCAAGGGGTTGTTCAAGCATCCTTGTGTTCTTGGAGCTGGCCAGAGTTTTGGTCTGTTAATTCATTGCAAGTCAGTCCTGATGTTAGCAAATGCACTTGATATCTTTCATAGAATCATAGAATACTAGGACTGGAAGGGACCTCGAGAAGTCATCGAGCCTAGCCCTCTGCCCTCATGGCAGGACCAAATACTGTCTAGACCATCCCTGATATACATTTATCTAACCTACTCTTAAATATCTCCACAGATGGGGATTCCACAACCTCCCTGGGCAATTTATTCCAGTGTTTGACTACCCTGACAGTTAGGAACTTTTTCCTAATGTCCAACCTAAACCTCCCTTGCTGCAGTTTAAGCCCATTGCTTTTTGTTCTATCCTCAGAGGCCAAGATGAACAAGTTTTCTCCCTCCTCCTCATGACACCCTTTTAGATACCTGAAAACTGCTATCATGTCCCCCCTCAATCCTCTCTTTTCTAAACTAAACAAACCCAATTCTTTCAGCCTTCCTTCATAGGTCATGTTCTCTAGACCTTTAATCATTTAAAATAACTGCAGAATAGTTTGTACAAATCACTTGAACTATTTGTTATTTGTTACTGGTCATGTGGTATATTCTCAATTCCCTGGTTGGATGACTCTCTGAAAAAGTAAAAAAAAAAAAGGAAAATGACAGGTACTTACAGTAGAAATGTTATACACAAGTCTACATCTACATTGCGCATTCTTGTGCAAGAAGATATGCAAATGATGCATGCCAATGAATATCGTCATGCCTCATTTGCATACCCAATGAGCTGCCAATTTTGCGCAAGGGGCTTTTGCACAAGAGCCGTTCTGCTGATTATTTTTAGGCAGAATGGCTCTTGCACAAAAATGGCAGCTCATTAGGTATGCAAATGAAGTGTGGCAATATTCATCACCACGCCTCATTTGCATATATGAACCCCCTTTATGCTTTGAATTCCTTTCCAAAATATGATAACTGTGTTTCTACTTTAACTAGTCACATTGGTCCTAGAAACTTCAGCATATCTTACAAAAGTTGAGTAATCCATGAAAAACTATCAATAAGTTTATATGCTACATTTATACTCAGGGTGTATTTTTAGCACATAAAAATGTAAGAGCTATCACATTGTGTCAGTCTATGGTCCATCTTGCCCAATTGATTGTGTCTGACAGTCTGTACCAGAATTTCAGGGAGAGTATATAGAACATGACATTTAGGGGAGATCCCTCCACTCTTCGCTTCTGGTAGTCCGAAGTTTAACATCACCCTGAAGCATCAAGTTGTGTTGTGGGCCTATGCTACATGGGCTTTTGTTTTAGGCCGCCTTCTTACTACATAAACCTCCAATCCTATTTTATATAAATCTTTTTTAACATTAAGCTATATAGTTTCTGAGATGAAAAAGGATCTGTTAACATACAAGGTGTTTAGATTTCAGTTACCATTACAGTTGTTTTACGGAATCATTCCACTTATGTAGTGCATTTGTGAAATACATACCTCCACTGGCATGTTTGAGAGTGTTTTGTATGGTTCTTTATGGATGATAACTATGGTGTAAGTTGCCTTTTTGTTGGGCTCATCAAAGCAGGGAAACGTCCTCCGTGCATCTGTTGGCTCATGATCAGTAACTGCTATACTCCTTTAAAAAAAAAATAGTTGCATTGTCCTAAGCCTTCATGAAAGCCATTATTTGTTATTTCCATGTCTGAACATAATTGTTCATTAATACTGCAAACTATATAGTAGAACTAGCAAAAGTTTTATTTTCATTGGTCTTTGTCTAAGATACAACTTAAATATTTATAACTCTCCAATATACCTGTGCTCCTAGAAGTCACAACTGTTAGGTATTTTAACAGAAACCACGTGAAACTGCTAATCATAAATGGAGGATGGACTCAATTTTTTTTAAGAGCAGGAAAAATAAAACACAAGTGTTCCCCACCACAATAAGGGAAAATCCTGCTCATCCGACTGATGAAAGTGATCCCATTGACTTCACTTGACTAAACATTAGTAATGTTATCAACTGAAAGGAAACTAAGGTTCTGATCTACAAATGAACTCTGAATGAATGATTTGCTCTGCCCATAGGAAGCTCCGCTGATTATTAATTGAAGAATTGGGACCTGAGCTTTTCCTGGAAAGACATCTTCCGAGGGAAAGCTTAACTCCACCTCCACAAAATAGTGAAGCTACCTGCGCAGCACTTTCTTGTCATAGGCATATATCGCTTAGAGCTTACACTGCCTGCCCATACTCCTAAACTTTACTGACTCCAATAATGAGGTGTGCACGGATATGAAATGTTTAACATATGGTAGAACACCTAATGGCAAGCCTTGTCACAGTGTTTGCCCAATATTTTAGCTTGGAAGTGAAGTGGGATTACTTAGTTAGAAATTACATAGAGAATTATTGCAAAATAGGATCATTTAGAAAACATATGAAGCCTGCTGTTCAGAGATGGAGCACACTCTCTGCTTTGAATGATGATGGTAGGGATTCATCTTAGATATCTCTCCAAATAATTTGGAACATAGAACATTTTTAACAGCATTTCTATGCTACATAATGTTAAGGTGTGGATTTCCCCCCCCCCCCCCATGTAATTTAATATATTCATAAAATTATAGATCTTTACCCCCATCACAAGTTCACTTGACAGCCAATTTTTCAATGTCTGTGTTGCCTTTGGCTTTCCCAGTGATGGTTAAACATGGTCATTAAGAACTTAGCAAGGTTCATTTAGAGGCGTGATGAGGTAATACATCTTGGTTTTTACTATTCATATTAATTGGGACAGTCACTCAAATGCCTCAAATTCATGGTCTCAGAGGAGGAAGTGTAATGAACCTCGCCTTATTTAAACCTCTCAGAATAGTTTAGACTTAATGGAGTTTCTTCTGTTTTATAAGCTGTTTGATGTCCCATTCTCCGTTTTGTAGGGTTTGGGAGATTTTTTCATAACCAAATTAACTTCAATCTCTTGGGCAATGGTTTAAAAAACTGTTTCTTTAAAAAATTGCTCTATATTTTCTATCCATGTTAGTGAAGATTGACCACTCAAGAACCTCTTTAATGATTTATAGGTGATAATCCATGTACCCTCAGGCATTTATGGTGGGCAGACAAACACCAATGCTGCAATTTATCAATGTCACAATTAATGGGGGTTGATTCAGAAACCTCTAGACCAGGCTATGTCTCTGTGCACACAAATAGTAATTAAAGAAAGAAAAAATCTTACATAACTTGGTTTTTACATGAAAAAGCCCTCCCTTTTTATAAGTTGCATCCTGTCCCTGCAATTTCTGTTGATTTCAAGGCTTTAAAACATGAAACAGAAGTGACAAAGTTGTAACTATACCAGGAATATTGAGAGGAGATCTGTCTGAGACCAAATGCAGCTGCTGTTCCCAAAATTAAACACTGCTGCATTTAAAGAGATGATAAATTACTGTTTTTTGCCACGCACATACAGATTTTCATTAAAAAAATGAGAGAGAGAAAATTTTTTCTCCCTCAGATAAGTAATGGATTTCATACATATTTGCAAACATAGATTCATCATTTTCCCAGGAAAATTTTGGCACTTTAGTGAGAGTTACACAAAGTAATGGGAAAATGTACTTTCTGCCCACAGCAACTGTCTTGGCTTTCTTTTAAAAGGAGAAAATTCAAGGAAAGAATGGAAAAGTATTTCACATTTGTGCTAACCAACAAAACCATGAATACCAGCTTCCTTATCAGTTGGAGCCATGCCAAACTTGCACCTTTTGAGCACCCCAGTCACACATTGCTTCACGTCAGTGCTTTGAATAAAAGAGAATTCAGATCGTAGCCAGATTTTGGTTATGCAAAGCCAAGACACAGCCGGCTTGCTCCAAAACCTCAGTAATACCAGAAGAAAAGAAACAGGAGTTAACTAACTTAACTAAAAAAGCTGTCACTCTCTAAGTTGAGACACTTTTTTTCCCTAGTCTTCATTTTCCTCCTATCTGAGCACCTCACAGTCTGTTTATTTTGTTCATTCTCACCACAATCTCATGAGGTAGAGAAGCAGTGTTATCCTCATTTACAGATGAAGTACAGTGTCCAGTGTCATCATAGAAGTCTGGGACAAAGAGTATTAAAAAGTCCCTGGCTAGTCCCCAAACCTCTGGATCATCTGTTCTCTGGGACCTACCATTACCCTCTGGTGAATGTATAAAACCAAAGGTGGAACCAAAGGATGGTGATTTCTGGGCCCATGCCTAGTGTTTAGAGAAAAGGAACTACAGCAATGCTTAAGCAATCCTGGAAGAATCAGCTTCCAAGCTGGCTGCTTCTACTCCACCTCCTCCGGACCACTCTTCCTCTTCTCCGTCAGCTGTCAGGTTTTATAGCTTCTGAGACTATTGAAGAAGGAAGGAAGACTTGGCTAATTGCTAGCTGCCTGTCTCCCTCACCCCATTCTAATGATAGGCTAGGATGGTAACACTGTCTTTTATTAATGTTGCCCAATTCTTCCCATGATAGGATCTGTTTTCATTTGCTTCTAACACTGCCAAACATTTATCACTTGGGCTCACTGAGCAAAACTTTCCCTGAAATTACAGCTGCCGAGGCTTATGTGGTAGCTGAATACCTAAACTTAGAGCAGGAAACCTCTCTCTCCTATGATCTTGATGCCCACCCAACTCCTTGAGTCTACCATGCCCCTGATCACAGGTGGAGAGAAAAGCCTGCTTTGAATGCAGAGGGGACAAGAGCTAGATCTATGGGAGGGATCTGTGGATTATATTGAGACAAAGATCCCTCTTGTAGGAAGACTAGAACTGTGGGGTTGAGGGCAAGGGAAGAGGAGAGAGCAGCTCCGAGTTGTGGGGTTAGACAGGCCCAGGACAGAGTGAGTAGGAGCCAGAGAGCAAAGTGTATGTGTAGGGGAAGACTGATCTCCGATGAAGATCCAGAAGGGGACTGAGACCAGCAAGCAGTAAACTTGGTGGATGCAGGTCAGGTGAGGGAAGGTAGATCTGACTAGAAACCAGGATGTGAGGGGATGACTGGGACAAGGAGCCAGAGGGATATGAGTGGACGGACACAGACTGAAGTAGGAGCCCAGGGATGGAGACTGGGACAGAGAGCTAATAGAGATGGAGGAAGTGAAGGGAGCAAAACAAATTAAATGAAGAATCAAAAAAGGGGGAAATGGAGAATAGTTGGGTGACTAGGAGTCCAGAGAGAGACACTAGAACTGGCTTAGCAAGGAGACTGGGATTGAAGAGTGAACAGAATAAGACTTAATATAAGGAGCCATGGAATGGGGGAGGGGGGGAGAGAGCACAGAGACAGAGACAAAGAGAAGAGGGCAGAACAGGAGGAACCCAGCTGAGCTGCATGCCATGTACCAGACTACACCTATAAAGCAACAGACAGGTCTCAGTCCCCACATACAACTCCCAGATGTGAGTTTGAAAAGATCAGGGGTAGCCTATGGCCAATAGAGTACCAGACTGCTTTTCACAATACAAACTCCAGCCACATTTCCTTGTAAGCAGTGGCCCCAAGATTGCTCTGGCATTCTTAATGCTGTAGCTTCCTGAGGGGAGCAGGAAAATTACAAGAGAGCCCAGAAAGGTAAGCAATTGGGTGACAGAAAGAAGGGGGAGAGGGAGAGAGCAGATCTGAGTAAGCAGAGATAGCTGTGCAAGTCAAAGTTTAAAATAAATGGGTTTACTTGGTTACTCCATTCTCAGTGTAGGTAGTTCTGTAAAATCCAGCCAGGGAGCCATTCAGCGAGCCTTTGAACTTCAGGGTGAGTACATAGTTGTCATTTGCAGCAGTAGGAGAGAGCTTCTCTTCTGCCTCCATCACCACATATTCATGTTGTTCATATTTAAAGCAATCTCTCAGTGCAATCTGCTGCCCGGAGGATTTCCGGAGCACGGGCATCTCTGTGATCTTGGTCTCTCGGAGGTGAAGCCACAAATGCTGGGTTGGTTTATCTAACTTGATAGAGATGTTGACTGTCCCTGTGTAACTATTTGCATCCATCTCGGGCTTTATTTCCAGCTCATAGTGCACTGGGTTAATGTAAGTGGGTAGCCTGAAGTCTGTCCATTCTCCACTCACATTTTTGGGAGCGCAGTAGTGCAGCTCCTCTGTCCCAGGGATGGTGGTTGCTGGCTGCTGTGTGGCTCCTGAAGTCTGGCAGGACTCAGGTCTGTTTAATCCCACACCAAGTCCAATAGCTATACCTACTGCAACCACCACTGCACAGATGGTGCCCGTATGCTGTTCATTCACGCGGTCCTTCACCACTGCACAGATGGTGCCCTTATGCTGTTCATTCACGCGGTCCTTCTTGGACATCTTAAGGCTTATTAAGGTCCTCAGCAGTTCTGCCTTTTTTAGGTAAGCCCAACAGATTTGGTCTGTATTCTAATGATATAGTTATATCCTTTCTGTCTCTCTCACCTCTTCCATCCGGCACTCAATTAAAAGTAGCTTTCATCTAACCCAGAGGAAAAGTGGCTGATTCAGAGTGCAGCTGTGGAGGAAGAGAGGAAATGGGTACAGAAGAACACTGCTGTAATGACTTCTCTCCTTATAAGCAGTGCAGCTCCACCCCCTCCTCCTCTTGCTCTCTGCTATGACTGAAATAGCCAATAGTGCTATGTTACTCAGCAGTTAGGGGATGATCATCTGCCAAAGCTCTGTCAGCAGCTTTCAGAAAGAGTTCACAGAGAGTGGTGTTACTGCTAGGAAACCTCAACCTTTACCACTACCTCTTATTTTTTATTCCTGTTGTTGTTATTGTTTTGATTAACAACCAAGAATTTCCTTGAAAATCCACCATGGATTTTCTGCAGTCAAATTTCCAATATTTAAAAAAAACATTTTTTTTTGCAATTTAATTCAGTTGTCTTCCCTCAGTCACAGAGTCATTCCTTTACTGTGTAACTCCACACAGTTACAGGTAGAAGCGTTAGCTAGAAAATGGTATATCTTAGCTTTTATTTCAAGCTTTAAAATTTTGCTATTTTCACATATACAGGACAAGTTTTCAAAGATATGTTTCAGAATTACGCATACAAACAAGGTAACCAGGGGATGAATTTACTTCCCGCCT